ATCGGCCAGTCTGGCCGGCATTTCGCACTTATAGTGCAAGTAGGGCCAAGGAGAACGGAAACGCTCATTTCTCAAAAAGTAGAGGGAATCTAGCGGTCTCACTCGATCAGAAGGTGGGAAATATATAAATCTAGTGAGCTAACAAGGTTCGGAAGGAATCTAATGTATATGTATATGGAAAGTGGTGCATTGGCCAGGTCGGTCAGTATGGGAACTTGGAGTGCAAATGCCTGGGAGAACGGAACCGCTCAGATCTCGCATAATACACGGAATCTAGTGGTCTCACTCAAATATAAGGTAGGAAAGAAATTCATCTAGTGAACGTAAGGGTTTGAAAGGTAATTAACGCACATGTGTAGAGAAAATGGTGCATCGGCCAGTCTGGCCGGCATTTCGCACTTATAGTGCAAGTAGGGCCAAGGAGAACGGAAACGCTCATTTCTCAAAAAGTAAAGGGAATCTAGCGGTCTCACTCGATCACAAGGTGGGAAATATACAAATCTAGTGAGCTAATAAGGTTCGAAAGGAATCTAATGCATATGTATATGGAAAATGGTGCATTGGCCAGGTCGGTCAGTATGGGAACTTAGAGTGCAAATGCCAGGGAGAACGGAAGCGCTCAGATCTCGCACAGTACACGGAATCTAGTGGTCTCACTCAAATAGAAGGTAGAAAATATATTCATCTAGTGAACGTAAGGGTTTGAAAGGTAACTAACGCACATGTGTAGAGAAAATGGTGCATCGGCCAGTCTGGCCGGCATTTCGCACTCATAGTGCAGGTGGGGCCAGGAAGAACGGAAACGCTCATTTCTCAAAAAGTAGAGGGAATCTAACGGTCTCACTCTATCAAAAGGTGGGAAATATATAAATCTAGTCAGCTAAAAAGGTTTGAAATGTATTCAACGCACATGTATAGAGAAAATGGTGCATTGGCCAGGTCGGTCAGTATCGGAACTTAAAATGCAAATGCCAGGGAGAACGGAAGCGCTCAGATCTCGCATAGTACACGGAATCAAGTGGTCTCACTCAAATAGAAAGTAGGAAATATATTCATCTAGTGAACGTAAGGGTTTGAAAGGTAACTAACGCACATGTGTAGAGAAAATGGTGCATCGGCCAGTCTAGCCGGCATTTCGCACTCATAATGCAGGTGGGGCCAGGGAGAACGGAAACGCTCGTTTCTCAAAAAGTAGAGGGAATCTAACGGTCTCACTCGATCAGAAGGTGGGAAATATATAAATCTAGTCAGCTAAAAAGGTTTGAAATGTATTCAACGCAAATGTATAGAGAAAATGGTGCATTGGCCAGGTCGGTCAGTATCGGAACTTAAAATGCAAATGCCAGGGAGAACGGAAGCGCTCAGATCTCGCATAGTACACGGAATCAAGTGGTCTCACTCAAATAGAAAGTAGGGAAGGGTTTGAGAGGTAACTAACGCACATGTGTAGAGAAAATTGTGCATCGGCCAGTCTGGCCGGCATTTCGCACTTATAGTGCAACTAGGGCCAAGGAGAACGGAAACGCTCATTTCTCAAAAAGTAGAGGGAATCTAGCAGTCTCACTCGATCAGAAGGTGGGAAATATATAAAACTAGTGAGCTAATAAGGATCGAAAGGAATCTAATGCATATGTATATGGAAAATGGTGCATTGGCCAGGTCGGTCAGTATGGGAACTTAGAGTGCAAATGCCAGGGAGAACGGAAGCGCTCAGATCTCGCATAGTACACGGAATCTAGTTGTCTCACTCAAATATAAGGTAGGAAATAACTTCATCTAGTGAACGTAAGGGTTTGAAAGGTAACTAACGCACATGTGTAGAGAAAATGGTGCATCGGCCAGTCTGGCCGGCATTTCGCACTTATAGTGCAAGTAGGGCCAAGGAGAACGGAAACGCTCATTTCTCAAAAGTAAAGGGAATCTAGCGGTCTCACTCGATCAGAAGGTGGGAAATATATAAATCTAGTGAGCTAATAAGGTTCGAAAGGAATCTAATGCATATGTATATGGAAAATGGTGCATTGGCCAGGTCGGTCAGTATGGGAACTTAGAGTGCAAATGCTAGGGAGAACGGAAGCGCTCAGATCTCGCATAATACATGGAATCTAGTGGTCTCACTCAAATATAAGGTAGGAAATATATTCCTCTAGTGAACGTAAGGGTTTGAAAAGGTAACTAACGCACATGTGTAGAGAAAATGGTGCATCGGCCAGTCTGGCCGCCATTTCGCACTCATAGTGCAGGTGGGGCCAGGGAGAACGGAAACGCTCGTTTCTCAAAAAGTAGAGGGAATCTAACGATCTCACTCGATCAGAAGGTGGGAAATATATATATCTAGTCAGCTAAAAAGATTTAAAATGTATTCAACGCACATGTGTATGGGCATTGGCCAGGTCGGTCAGTATCGGAACTTAAAATGCAAATGCCAGGGAGAACGGAAGCGCTCAGATCTCGCATAGTACACGGAATCAAGTGGTCTCACTCAAATAGAAAGTAGGAAATATATTCATCTAGTGAACGTAAGGGTTTGAAAGGTAACTAACGCACATGTGTAGAGAAAATTGTGCATCGGCGAGTGTGGCCGGCATTTCGCACTTATAGTGCAACTAGGGCCAAGGAGAACGGAAACACTCATTTCTCAAAAAGTAGAGGGAATCTAGCGGTCTCACTCGATCACAAGGTGGGAAATATATAAATCTAGTGAGCTAATAAGGTTCGAAAGGAATCTAATGCATATGTATATGGAAAAAGGTGCATTGGCCAGGTCGGTCAGTATGGGAACTTAGAGTGCAAATGCCAGGGAGAACGGAAGCGCTCAGATCTCGCATAGTACACGGAATCTAGTGGTCTCACTCAAATTAAAGGTAGGAAATAAATTCATCTAGTGAACGTAAGGGTTTGAAAAGTAACTAACGCACATGTGTAGAGAAAATGGTGCATCGGCCAGTCTGGCCGGCATTTCGCACTTATAGTGCAACTAGGGCCAGGGAGAACGGAATCGCTCATTTCTCAAAAAGTAGAGGGAATCTAGCGGTCTCACTCGATCAAAACGTGGGAAATATATAAATATAGTGAGCTAATAAGATTCGAAAGGAATCTAATGCATATGTATATGGAAAATGGTGCAATGGCCAGGTCGGTCAGTATGGGAACTTAGAGTGCAAATGCCAGGGAGAACGGAAGCGCTCAGATCTCGCATAGTACACGGAATCTAGTGGTCTCACTCAAATAGAAGGTAGGAAATAAATTCATCTAGTGAACGTAAGGGTTTGAAAAGTAACTAACGCACATGTGTAGAGAAAATGGTGCATCGGCCAGTCTGGCCGGCATTTCGCACTTATAGTGCAAGTAGGGCCAAGGAGAACGGAAACGCTCATTTCTCAAAAACTAAAGGGAATCTAGCGGTCTCACTCGATCAGAAGGTGGGAAATATATAAATCTAGTGAGCTAATAAGGTTCGGAAGAAATCTAATGCATATGTATATGGAAAGTGGTGCATTGGCCATGTCGGTCAGTATGGGAACTTAGAGTGCAAATGCCTGGGAGAACGGAACCGCTCAGATCTCGCATAATACACGGAATCTAGTGGTCTCACTCAAATATAAGGTAGGAAATATATTCATCTAGTGAACGTAAGGGTTTGAAAGGTAACTAACGCACATGTGTAGAGAAAATGGTGCATCGGCGAGTCTGGCCGGCATTTCGCACTTACAGTGCAACTAGGGCCAAGGAGAACGGAAACGCTCATTTCTCAAAAAGTAAAGGGAATCTAGCGGTCTCACTCGATCACAAGGTGGGAAATATATAAATCTAGTGAGCTAATAAGGTTCGAAAGGAATTTAATGCATATGTATATGGAAAATGGTGCGTTGGCCAGGTCGGTCAGTATGGGAACTTAGAGTGCAAATGCCAGGGAGAACGGAAGCGCTCAGATCTCGCATAGCACACGGAATCTAGTGGTCTCACTCAAATAAAAGGTAGGAAATAAATTCATCTAGTGAACGTAAGGGTTTGAAAGGTAACTAACGCACATGTGTAGAGGAAATGGTGCATCGGCCAGTCTGGCCGGCATTTCGCACTTATAGTGCAAGTAGGGTCAAGGAGAACGGAAACGCTCATTTCTCAAAAAATAAAGGGAATCTAACCGTCTCACTCGATCAAAAGGTGGGAAATATATAGATCTAGTGAGCTAATAAGGTTCGAAAGGAATCTAATGCATATGTATATGGAAAGTGGTGCATTGGCCAGGTCGGTCAGTATGGGAACTTAGAGTGCAAATGCCTGGGAGAACGGAACCGCTCAGATCTCGCATAATACACGAAATCTAGTGGTCTCACTCAAATATAAGGTAGGAAATAAATTCATCTAGTGAACGTAAGGGTTTGAAAGGTAACTAACGCACATGTGTAGGAAAATGGTGCATCGGCCAGTCTGGCCGGCATTTCGCACTTATAGTGCAAGTAGGGCCAAGGAGAACGGAAACGCTCATTTCTCAAAAAGTAGAGGGAATCTAGCGGTCTCACTCGATCAGAAGGTGGGAAATATATAAATCTAGTGAGCTAATAAGGTTCGAAAGGAATCATATGCATATGTATATGGAAAGTGGTGCATTGGCCAGGTCGGTCAGCATGGGAACTTAGAGTGCAAATGCGAGGGAGAACGGAAGCGCTCAGATCTCGCATAGTACACGGAATCTAGTGGTCTCACTCAAATAGAAGGTAGGAAATAAATTCATCTAGTGAACGTACGGGTTTGAAAGGTAACTAATGTCAGAGTATTATAACTGATGCATGTTTGTAGGCTATAGTGGGGTAGCACATATGGGGTACAGCTTTCTATGGTTGTATTTGTACCCAACTCTGACTTAGTCATTTCATTCCTGTTCTCTTATCTTTCACATGGTATAGAGCGGGTCCTTCCTAAGGACCGTTTTTTTTTTAGGGCCCACCGAAGCGCGCCCCGAGGCGCGCATTTTTTTTTCGCGACCCTTCGGGTCGCCATTACTCTCGCGGCCCCGCTGTCCCTCTGACGCGGCCCCGCCACCTCTGCTTGACGTGGCCCCGCCGCCTCCTCTGCAGCGGCTCCGCCGCCTCCTCTGACGCGGCCCCGCCGCCCGCTGATGGCGGGCATTTTTTCGCTTTTTTTTTTCGCGACCCTTCGTGACGGCCCCGCCGTCCCTTCCTGCCTGCCCCGCCGTCCACTCCTGACGGCCCCGCCGTCCCCTCCTGACGGCTCCTGCCGTCCCCTTCTACCGGCCCCGCAACTGCACCTGCAGGCCCCGCCGCTGCACCTACCGGCCCCCACCAACCCCCCCCCCCCCCCCTTTTCCCGTCGCCTGTCGAGGCGACCTGAGGGGGCCGGTATGTGGCCTCCCCTGCTTCTCCTCCTCCTTCATCTCCCGCTGCAGCAGCCGAGCCGCTCACCTGCAGCAGCCGAGCCGCCCTGCCGCCGAGCTGCCGGGTCGCTGAGCTGCTGAGCTGCAGTTGCTGCCGATCTGCCCTGCCGCCGAGCCGCCGAGTCTCCGAGCTGCTGAGCTGCAGTTGCTGCCGAGCCGCCTTGCCGCCGAGCCGCCCGCGTCGCCCGAGCCGCAGAGCCGCCGAGCTGCCGAGCCGCTGAGTCGCCGAGCCTACTCTTCCCACCACTGGTGAGCTCTTGCCCTGCTAGCACACTGCGCGTCGCCTGCCTGCCTTTTGGCTTACCTGGCTGCCTGCCTTCCTGCTGCTAGTCCTGCTCCTGCTTCTACTTGCGGAGCCAGATGCAGCCCCAGCGACGCCTGCGTGAGTCCCTCACGCCCCAGCAGCTGCGTGAGTGGTACGCTGGTTGGGGCTGTAGGGGTGGCGGCACTACTCCTACTACCACTCCTGCTGCTTCTACTCGTGGTGGCGGCCAGATGCAGCTCCCGCGACCCTCTCGCGTGTCTCTCACGCCTCGCCAGCTTCGTGAGTGGTACGCTCAGAGTGGAGGGTCTCTCAGTGCTGTTCGCTGCTCTTACGTGATTCGCACTGGTACTCGGACTGGTCAGCCTTGTGGGACACCTAGTCATACATAGTCCCGCTGCTTCGCCCGTCTGAGCGACGCCTGGCGTACCGTGTTTGGCGACGAGGCTGAGCTTCCCGACTGGGTGGAGTTGCTTAGGCAGAGGGTAGATATATATGCTCTTGACTATGATGCTATTCTCACTGCCATGTATGCATTGCATACTAGTGCTGACCGTGCCGGTCACCTGTGCGTTCCGCCTGACCCAGGTATAGGACCTGCTGCTCTAGCTACTGGTGAGGCTGCTGCTCTGGGTGCTAGTGAGTCTCCTGCTCCAGGTACAGGTGCGGCTGCTGCTCTAGGTGCTAGTGAGTCTGCTTCCTCAGGTGCGGGTGAGGCTGCGCTCTCAGGTACCGCGTTGGCTTCGGCCTCCCTCACCTTTACACTTGACTCTGGGGCTTCTCGCTCCTTCTTTCGGGACCGCACCACACTCACGCCGCTTGGTCGGCCGGTTGCAGTCTCCCTGGCTGACCCCTCTGGGGGTCCTGTCCTCGCTCACTTTTCCACTGTCCTCCCGTGTCCGGCTGCCCCCTCGGGCACCCTGTCTGGCCTGTACCTCCCCTCGTTCTCGACGAACTTGGTGAGTGGTGCAGACCTACAGGATGCGGGGGTTCACCAGTTCACTCCTGCGAGTCAGCGGGTGACCCACTGCACGGACGCCCGCACAGGCCGGCACCTGGCCACGTTCTCGCGTCGGCCGGGGTCGAGCCTCTACACCCTGACCACTGAGTCTCCTCCTGTCCCCGCGTTCGGTCAGGTAGCAGCGTCGGGTCAGGTGTTTGCTGCTGCGTCCAGGTCTGGTCCTGAGTCTGCCCCCTGTTCGTGTCGCCTCCTGTCTCACGAGACTCTCCTGTGGCACCACCGTCTAGGCCACCCCTCCTTGCCCCGTCTTCGGGGCATGGCTTCCCGTGTCCTTGTCTCTGGTCTTCCCCAGTCTCTCCCTCCCCTTCCTTCGGGAACAGGACCTTCCTGTGTCCCCTGTGTCGAGGGGCGCCTCAGGGCTGCTCCTCACTCCTCCCAGTTTCCCCCGACAGAGGCTCCTCTACAGACGCTTCACATGGACGTGTGGGGCCCGGCCCCCGTCCGTGGGCAGGGTCACGAGCGCTACTTCCTGTTGGTGGTTGACAACTACTCGCGTTACACCTCAGTCTTCCCCTTGCGCAGCAAGGGTGCTGTCACTGAGGTGCTGATCGCCTGGATCCGCGAGGCTCGTCTCCAGCTCAGGAGGAGCTTCGGCTCGGACTTTCCTGTTCTGCGTCTGCACTCTGACCGAGGTGGGGAGTTCTCCTCTCGCCTTCTGCGAGACTACTGTCATGCACAGGGGATCCGCCAGACCTTTACGCTTCCGGACTCTCCACAGCAAAATGGGATTGCTGAGCGCCGCATTGGCATGGTCATGGATGTCGCTCGTACGTCCATGATGCATGCGGCTGCCCCCCATTTTCTGTGGCCGTTTGCGGTTCGATACGCGGCGCATCAGCTCAACCTTCACCCCAGGGTCTCTCGGCCCGCGATGTCCCCAGTGTTACTGTGGACGGGGAAGGTCGGCGATGCGTCTGCGTTCCGTGTCTGGGGATCTCGGGCGTTTGTCCGCGACTTGTCTGCGGACAAGCTGTCCCCCCGTGCTGCTCCCTGTGTCTTCCTTGGCTTCCCCCCTGACGCTCCAGGGTGGCAGTTCTACCACCCCTCCTCTCGTCGTGTTCTATCCTCCCAGGACGTCACGTTCGACGAGTCAGTCCCCTTCTACCGCCTCTTCCCCTACCGTACTCCTTCCCTCCCCCCCCCACCGGACTTCCTGGTACCAGTTCCCCCCCCGCTAGACCCCCTCCTCCCTCAGGTTCCTGCCCCTTCAGGTGTGTCCCAGGTAGACACAGTCGAGCCAGTCGAGGTTGCTGCTGAGTCTGGTCCTGCTGCGGGTGCTGAGCCTGGGGGTGCTGCTGCTGGGGGTGCTGAGCCAGGGGGTGCGAGGCCGGGGGGTGCTGAGTCTGGGGGTGCTGGGCCTGGAGGTCCGTAGCCTGTGCCTGCTGGACCTGGGGGCTCTCCGGTTATTCCGTCTCGGCGGGAGCCGCTCTCTCCACAGGAGCTGCGCGAGTGGTTTGCTCGCCGCTGGAGGCGTGCTGCTGGAGCTGGAGCTTCTTCGTCTGCTGAGGGTGCTGGTGCAGCCGGTCCCGGAGCTGCTGAGCCTGCGGGTCCTACTGGAGCTGGAGCTACTGAGCCTGGGGGTGCTGAGTCTGGAGCTGCTGAGCCTGGAGGTGCTGAGTCTGGAGCTGCTGAGCCTGGGGGTGCTACGTCTGGAGCTGCTGTGCCTGGGGGTGCTGCGTCTGGAGCTGCTGAGCCTGGGGTTTCTCCTGCTGCTGCGTCTCGCCGGGAGCCCCTCTCTCCACAGGAGCTGCGCGAGTGGTTTGCTCGCCGCTGGAGGCGTGCTGCTGGAGCTGGAGCTTCGTCCACCGTCGAGGGTGCTGGTGCTGCCGGTCCCGGAGCTGCTGGGCCTGCGGGTCCTACTGGAGCTGGAGCTGCTGAGGGTGTTGGTGCTGGGACTACTGCTGTCTGTCCTGGCGGTGGTTCTCCTGCTGGTGCTGCTGGAGGTCCTGCCGCTGGAGGTGTTGGTGGCGCTGGTGCTGTCGCTGAGGGTGCTGGTGCTGTCCCTGCTGAGTCTGGAGCTGCCGCGCGGCCTCGGCCGTACTTCGTTCCGCTCCTACAGCAGGTTCTTGGTCTTTCTCCTTCGGTAGAGTGTCCACAGCCTGTCCAGTCGCAGTCACTGTTGGAGCCTTCCTCTCCTCTGCCTACTCCCTCCCCTTACACTGGTCCTACTGGAGGTCTTGCTAAGCGTCGTGAGCCTGCGTCTCGTCCCACGGCGCCGGTTCGTGCTGCTCGCGCTAGTGGTCGCGGTTCGCGTCAGCGTCCTCTTCCTGTCCCTGGCACGCACCGGATGTCTCTGCGTCCGTCCACTGCTCCTCTGCGTGCCCCTTTGCCTTCTCCTCCTGAGTCCTCTCTTCCTGCGCTTGCCGACCCTGAGTCGGACTCTCTTCGTGCTGCCAGTCCTACTGTCACGCGTCTGCTTGCTACTGTCGTCACTGACCCCTCTTTTGAGTCCACTGCTGCGTCTGCTCTTGTCGCTGAGCTCGTCGACTTTGCTGCTCGCTGCCGTCTAGACTACGCTGCTAGTCTTGTTGCTGAGTCTGCGTCTGTCTGTCCTCCGTCCGTCGGGGGTGAGTGTGCTCTTGGCACGGACGTCCTAGAGGACAGGCAGGAGGAGTTACAGTGTCTGGCTGCTGCTTCACCTCATCTCGCGTCTGTACTGCTTGCTCCTGAGGGAGACCCGGATGCACTAGACATCCCGACTCCGCGCTCTTACGCGGAGGCCGTAGAGGGTCCCTACTCCTCTCGGTGGCAGGCAGCTATGGATGCAGAGATGGCTTCCTGGAAGTCCACAGGCACCTACGTTGACGCAGTTCCCCCTCCTGGGGCGAACATCGTCAGTGGCATGTGGATCTTCAGGATGAAGCGGCCGCCGGGCTCTCCACCTGTCTTCAAGGCGCGGTACGTTGCTCGTGGCTTCAGTCAGCGGCAGGGAGTTGACTACTTTCAGACCTTCTCTCCCACCCCGAAGATGACCACTCTTTGGGTGCTGCTGCACATAGCCGCTCAGCGCGACTACGAGCTTCACTCTCTCGACTTCAGCACTGCGTTCTTGCAGGGTAGCCTGCACAAGGAGATCTGGCTGCGCCGTCCGCCTGGCTTCACTGGGACTTTCCCTCCTGGCACCCAGTGGAGCCTCCGACGGCCAGTCTACGGTCTCCGCCAGGCACCGCGTGAGTGGCACGACACACTGAGGACTACGCTTGCGGCTCTTGGGTTTGCTCCCTCTACTGCTGACCCGTCGCTGTTTCTGCGCACCGACACTTCACTGCCGCCGTTCTACATCCTCGTGTACGTCGACGACTTGGTCTTTGCCACAGCGGACACTGCTGGACTCGCCTACGTGAAGTCCGAGCTGCTGAAGAGACACACGTGCACAGACCTGGGTGAACTGCGCAGCTACCTTGGCTTGCAGATCACTCGGGACAGAGCACGCCGCACCATTACCTTGACTCAGTCACACATGGTGCAGCAGGTCCTTCAGCGCTTCGGCTTCACGTACTCCTCGCCTCAGGCCACTCCTCTGCCTACTCGCCACTCACTCTCAGCTCTGCCTTCGGATGAGTCCGTAGAGTCGAGTGGTCCGTATGCAGAGCTTGTTGGCTGCCTCATGTACCTGATGACCTGCACACGACCTGACCTTGCATACCCTCTGAGCATTCTTGCACGCTATGTTGCTCCTGGGAGACACCGACCAGAGCACATGGCAGCAGCGAAGAGGGTATTGCGCTACCTGTGCAGTACGTCGGGCATGGGGCTAGTGCTTGGAGGGCGGAGTCCAGTGGTCCTTACAGGCCACGCGGACGCTTCTTGGGCTGACGACCAGGCTACGCAGCGGTCGTCACAGGGTTACACCTTCAGCCTTGGTTCCGGCTCTGTCTCGTGGCGGTCTACTCGCTCGTCTTCAGTTCTCCGCTCCAGTTGTGAGGCTGAGATCTACGCCGGGGCCATGGCTGCACAGGAGCTTCGCTGGCTCACCTACCTGCTGACTGACCTTGGAGAGCCGCCTCGTTCTCCTCCAGTGCTATACGTAGACAACAAGGCCATGCTGGCCTTGTGTCGAGAGCAGTGCTTGGAGCACAGAACGAAGCACATTGCTCTCCGCTACTTCCTTGCTCATGAGCTGCAGCAGCGTGGTCAGTTGCGACTTGCGTACGTGGCCTCTGAGGCCAACACTGCTGATGTGTTCACCAAGGCACTCGCGCCTTGTGACCATCAGCGCTTTTGCACCCAGCTGGGTCTTGTGCCTGTCTTGCCTCACTTGCTCTCCTCTTGACTTCACTTGTACTGTGACATATATATATATACCTGCTCTTGCTTGTCTAGTTTTATATATATGTCTGTCCTCCTGCATGTGAACTGGCCTCTGGCCTTGCTCTTGTGCTCGGACTGTGTGGTGACTTTGTGATCCACCCTTAGCTTGCTTTACTTTGCTTTGCTTGACTGGTCTTGTGACCCCTTGTTCTCCCCCACTTTGCCTATGGGGGTGTGTAAGAGTATTATAACCGATGCATGTTTGTAGGCTATAGTGGGGTAGCACATATGGGGTAGAGCTTTCTAGGGTTGTATTTGTACCCAACTCTGACTTAGTCATTTCATTCCTGTTCTCTTATCTTTCACAACTAACGCACATGTGTAGAGAAAATGGTGCATCGGCCAGTCTGGCCGGCATTTCGCACTTATAGTGCAAGTAGGGCCAAGGAGAACGGAAACGCTCATTTCTCAAAAAGTAAAGGGAATCTAGTGGTCTCACTCGATCAGAAGGTGGGAAATATATAAATCTAGTGAGCTAATAAGGTTCGAAAGGAATCTAATGCATATGTATATGGAAAATGGTGCATTGGCCAGGTCGGTCAGTATGGGAACTTAGAGTGCAAATGCAAGGGAGAACGGAAGCGCTCAGATCTCGCATAGTACACGGAATCTAGTGGTCTCACTCAAATAGAAGGTAGGAAATAAATTCATCTAGTGAACGTTAGGGTTTGAAAGGTAACTAACGCACATGTGTAGAGAAAATGGTGCATCGGCCAGTCTGGCCGGCATTTCGCACTCATAGTGCAAGTAGGGCCAAGGAGAACAGAAACGCTCATTTCTCAAAAAGTAAAGGGAATCTAACGGTCTCACGTTATCGGAAGGTGGGAAATATATAAATCTAGTGAGCTAATAAGGTTTGGAAGCAATCTAATGCATATGTATGTGGAAAGTGGTGCATTGGCCAGGTCGGTCAGTATGGGAACTTAGAGTGCAAATGCCTGGGAGAACGGAAGCGCTCAGATCTCGCATAGTACACGGAATCTAGTGGTCTCACTCAAATAGAAGGTAGGAAATAAATTCATCTAGTGAACGTAAGGGTTTGAAAGGTAACTAACGCACATGTGTAGAGAAAATGGTGCATCGGCCAGTCTGGCCGGCATTTCGCACTTATAGTGCAAGTAGGGCCAAGGAGAACGGAAACGCTCATTTCTCAAAAAGTAAAGGGAATCTAGTGGTCTCACTCAATCAGAAGGTGGGAAATATATAAATCTAGTGAGCTAATAAGGTTTGAAAGGAATCTAATGCATATGTATATGGAAAATGGTGCATTGGCCAGGTCGGTCAGTATGGGAACTTAGAGTGCAAATGCAAGGGAGAACGGAAGCGCTCAGATCTCGCATAGTACACGGAATCTAGTGGTCTCACTCAAATAGAATGTAGGAGATAAATTCATCTAGTGAACGTAAGGGTTTGAAAGGTAACTAACGCACATGTGTAGAGAAAATGGTGCATCGGCCAGTCTGGCTGGCATTTCGCACTTATAGTGCAAGTAGGGCCAAGGAGAACGGAAACGCTCATTTCTCAAAAAGTAGAGGGAATCTAGCAGTCTCACTCGATCAGAAGGTGGGAAATATATAAATCTAGTGAGCTAATAAGGTTTGAAAGGAATATAATGCATATGTTTATGGAAAATGGTGCATTGGCCAGGTCGGTCAGTATGGGAACTTGGAGTGCAAATGCCTCGGAGAACGGAACCGCTCAGATCTCGCATAATACACGGAATCTAGTGGTCTCACTCAAATATAAGGTAGGAAATTCATTCATCCAGTGAACGTAAGGGTTTGAAAGGTAACTAACGTAGATGTGTAGAGAAAATGGTGCATCGGCCAGTCTGGCCGGCATTTCGCACTCATAGTGCAGGTGGGGCCAGGGAGAACGGAAACGCTCGTTTCTCAAAAAGTAGAGGGAATCTAACGGTCTCACTTGATCAGAAGGTGGGAAATATATAAATCTAGTCAGCTAAAAAGGTTTGAAATGTATTCAACGCACATGTATAGAGAAAATGGTGCATTGGCCAGGTCGGTCAGTATCGGAACTTAAAATGCAAATGCTAGGGAGAACGGAAGCGCTCAGATCTCACATAGTACACGGAATCAAGTGGTCTCACTCAAATAGAAAGTAGGAAATATATTCATCTAGTGAACGTAAGGGTTTGAAAGGTAACTAACGCACATGTGTAGAGAAAATTGTGCATCGGCCAGTCATGCCGGCATTTCGCACTTATAGTGCAACTAGGGCCAAGGAGAACGGAAACGCTCATTTCTCAAAAAGTAGAGGGAATCTAGCGGTCTCACTCGATCAGAAGGTGGGAAATATATTTATCTAGTGAGCTAATACGGTTCGAAAGGAATCTAATGCATATGTATATGGAAAATGGTGCATTGGCCAGGTCGGTCTGTGAGAATAAACGGACAGGAATGAATGAACTAGCAGTGAAATGAGTACAAGTAGGAAACCCTAGAATTGTGTACCCCCTATAGGCTAACCGACTGTAGCCTACACAAGCATAACATATATAATGTTTGACACACCCCCATAGGCAAAGTGGGGGAGAACAAGGGGTCACAAGACCAGTCAAGGAAAGCAAAGCAAGCTCAGGGTGGATCACAAAGTCACCACACAGTCCGAGCACAAGAGCAGGGCCAGAGGCCAGTTCACATGCAGGAGGACAGACATATATATAAAACTAGACAAGCAAGAGCAGGTATATATATATGTCACAGTACAAGTGAAGTCAAGAGGAGAGCAAGTGAGGCAAGACAGGCACAAGACCCAGCTGGGTGCAAAAGCGCTGATGGTCACAAGGCGCGAGTGCCTTGTTGAACACATCAGCAGTGTTGGCCTCAGAGGCCACGTACGCAAGTCGCAACTGACCACGCTGCTGCAGCTCACGAGCAAGGAAGTAGCGGAGAGCAATGTGCTTCGTTCTGTGCTCCAAGCGCTGCTCTCGACACAAGGCCAGCATGGCCTTGTTGTCTACGTACAGCACTGGAGGAGAACGAGGCGGCTCTCCAAGGTCAGTCAGCAGGTAGGTGAGCCAGCGAAGCTCCTGTGCAGCCATGGCCCCGGCGTAGATCTCGGCCTCACAACTGGAGCCGAGAACTGAAGACGAGCGAGTAGACCGCCACGAGACAAAGCCGGAACCAAGGCTGAAGGTGTAACCCTGTGACGACCGCTGCGTAGCCTGGTCGTCAGCCCAAGAAGCGTCCGCGTGACCAGTGAGGACCACTGGACTCCGCCCTCCAAGCACTAGCCCCATGCCCGGCGTACTGCACAGGTAGCGCAATACCCTCTTCGCTGCAGCCATGTGCTCTGGTCGGTGTCTCCCAGGAGCAACATAGCGTGCAAGAATGCTCAGAGGGTATGCAAGGTCAGGTCGTGTGCAGGTCATCAGGTACATGAGGCAGCCAACAAGCTCTGCATACGGACCACTCGACTCTACGGACTCATCCGAAGGCAGAGCTGAGAGTGAGTGGCGAGTAGGCAGAGGAGTGGCCTGAGGCGAGGAGTACGTGAAGCCGAAGCGCTGAAGGACCTGCTGCACCATGTGTGACTGAGTCAAGGTAATGGTGCGGCGTGCTCTGTCCCGAGTGATCTGCAAGCCAAGGTAGCTGCGCAGTTCACCCAGGTCTGTGCACGTGTGTCTCTTCAGCAGCTCGGACTTCACGTAGGCGAGTCCAGCAGTGTCCGCTGTGGCAAAGACCAAGTCGTCGACGTACACGAGGATGTAGAACTGCGGCAGGGAAGTGTCGGTGCGAAGAAACAGCGACGGGTCAGCAGTAGAAGGAGCAAACCCAAGAGCCGCAAGCGTAGTCCTCAGTGTGTCGTGCCACTCACGCGGTGCCTGGCGGAGACCGTAGACTGGCCGTCGGAGGCTCCACTGGGTGCCAGGAGGGAAAGTCCCAGTGAAGCCAGGCGGACGGCGCAGCCAGATCTCCTCGTGCAGGCTACCCTGCAGAAACGCAGTGCTGAAGTCGAGAGAGTGAAGCTCGTAGTCGCGCCGAGCGGCTATGTGCAGCAGCACCCGAAGAGTAGTCATCTTCGGGGTGGGAGAGAAGGTCTGAAAGTAGTCAACTCCCTGCCGCTGTCTGAAGCCACGAGCAACGTACTGTGCCTTGAAGACACGTGGAGAGCCCGGCGGCCGCTTCACCCTGAAGATCCACATGCCACTGACGATGTTCGCCCCAGGAGGGGGAACTGCGTCAACGTAGGTGCCTGTGGACTTCCAGGAAGCCATCTCTGCATCCATAGCTGCCTGCCACTGAGAGGAGTAGGGACCCTCTACGGCCTCCGCGTAAGAACGCGGAGTCGGGATGTCTAGTGCATCCGGGTCTCCCTCAGGGGCAAGCAGTACAGACGCGAGATGAGGTGAAGCAGCCGCTAGACACTGTAACTCCTCCTGCCTGTCCTCTAGGACGTCCGTGCCAAGAGCACACTCACCCCCGACGGACGGAGGACAGGCAGACGCAGACTCAGCCACAAGACTAGCAGCGTAGTCGAGACGACAGCGAGCAGCAAAGTCGACGAGCTCAGCGACTAGAGCAGACGCAGCAGTGGACTCAAAAGAGGGGTCAGTGACGACAGTAGCAAGCAGACGCGTGACAGTAGGACTGGCAGCACGAAGAGAGTCCGACTCAGGGTCGGCAAGCGCAGGAAGAGAGGACTCAGGAGGAGAAGGCAAAGGGGCACGCAGAGGAGCAGTGGCCAGACGCAAAGACATCCGGTGCGTGCAAGGGACAGGAGGAGGACGCTGACGCGAACTGCGACCACTAGCGCGAGCAGCACGAACAGGCGACGCGGGACGAGACGCAGGCTCACGACGCTCAGCAAGACCTCCAGTAGGACCAGTGTAAGGAGAGGGAGCAGGCCGTGGAGAGGAAGGCTCCAGCAGGGACTGCGACTGGACAGGCGGTGGACCCTCTAGTGGAGGAGAAAGACCAAGAACCTGCTGCAGGAGCGGAACGAAGTACGGCCGAGGCCGCGCGGCAGCTCCAGACTCAGAAGGGACAGCACCAGCACCCTCAGCGACAGCACCAGCGCCACCCACACCTCCAGCGGCAGGACCAACAGTAGTAGGCTCAGCACCAACGCCCTTAGCAGCTCCAGCTCCAGGAGGACCCGCAGGTCCAGCAGCTCCGGGACCGGCAGCACCCGCACCCTCGACGGTCGAAGAAGCTCCAGCTCCAGCTCCAGCAGCACCTCCAGACTCAGCAGCACGCCTCCAGCGGCGAGCGAACCACTCGCGCAGCTCCTGTGGAGAGAGGGGCTCCCGGCGAGACACAGCAGCAGGAGAAACCCCAGGCTCAGCAGCTCCAGACGCAGCACCCCCAGGCTCAGCAGCTCCCAGCTCAGCACCCCCAGGCTCAGCAGCTCCCGACCCAGCACCCCCAGACCCAGCACCTCCAGGCACAGCACCCCCCGGCTCAGCACCCCCAGGCTCCGCACCCTCCGCAGCAGCACCCCCAGGCCCAGCACCCCCAGCAGTAGCACCCCCAGGCTCAGCACCCCCGCGCACAGCACCCCAGAGTCAGCAACCCCAGGCTCAGCACCCGCAGCAGCACCAGAGTCACCAGTAACCTCGACCGGGTCAACGGCGTCTACCTGGGACACACGTGAGGGGGCAGGAACCTGAGGGGGGAGGGGGTCTACCGGGGGGGGAACCGGCACAAGGAAGTCCGGGGGAGGGGGGAGGGAAGGAGTGCGGTAGGGGAAGAGACGGTAGAAGGGGACTGACTCGTCGAACGTGACGTCCTGGGAGGACAGAACACGACGAGAGGAGGGGTGGTAAAACTGCCACCCTGGGGCGTCAGTGGGGAAGCCAAGGAAGACACAGGGAGCAGCACGAGGGGACAGCTTGTCCGCAGACAAGTCGCGGACAAACGCCCGAGATCCCCAGACACGGAACACAGACGCATCGCCTACCTTCCCCGTCCACAGCAAGGCTGGGGACATCGCAGGCCGAGAGACCCGGGGGTGAAGGTTGAGCTGATGCGCCGCGTACCTCACCGCAAACGGCCACAGAAAATGGGGGGCAGCCGCATGCATCATGGACGTACGAGCGACATCCATGACCATGCCAATGCGGCTCTCAGCAATCCCATTTTGCTATGGTGAGTCCGGAAGCGTGAAGGTCTGGCGGATCCCCCGTGCACGACAGTAGTCTCGCAGAAGGCGAGAAGAGAACTCTCCGCCTCTGTCCGAGTGCAGACGCAGAACAGGAAAGTCCGAGCCGAAGCTCTTCCTGAGCTGGAGACGAGCCTCGCGGATCCAGTCGATCAGCACCTCAGTGACTGCACCCTTGCTGCGCAAGGGGAGGACTGTGGTGTAACGCGAGTAGTCGTCAACCACCAACAGAAAGTAGCGCTCGTGACCCTGCCCACGGACGGGGGCTGGGCCCCACACATCCATGTGAGGCGTCTGCAGGGGAGCCTCTGTCGGGGGGAAGTGGGAGGAGTGAGGAGTAGCCCGGAGGCGACCCTCGACACAGGGGACACAGGAAGGTCCTGGCCCGGAGGGGAGAGGAGGGAGAGACTGGGGAAGACCAGAGACAAGGACACGGGAAGCCATGCTCCGAAGACGGGGCAAGGAGGGGTGGCCAAGACGGTGGTGCCACAGGAGAGTCTCGTGAGACAGGAGGCGACAAGAACAGGGGGCAGACTCAGGACCTGACCGGGACGCAGCAGCAAGCACCTGACCTGACGCAGCTACCTGACCGGACGCAGGGACAGGAGGAGACGAAGTGGTCAGGGTGTAGAGACTCGACCCCGGCCGACGTGAGAAGGTGGCCAGGTGTCGGCCTGTCCGTGCGTCCGTGCAGTGGGTCACCCGCTGACTCGCAGGATTGAACTGGTGAACCCCCGCATCCTGCAGGGCTGCACCACTCACCAAGTTCGTAGAGAACGAGGGAAGGTACAGACCAGACAGGGTGCCCGAAGGGGCAGCCGGACACGGGAGGACAGTGGAGAAGTGAGACAGGACAGGACCCCCAGAGGGGTCAGCAAGGGAGACTGCAACCGGCCGGCCGAGCGGCGTAAGGGTAGTGCGGTCTCGAAAGAAGGAGCGAGAAGCCCCGGAGTCAAGTGTGAAAGTGAGGGAGGACGAGGACGACGCAGTACCTGAGAGCGCAGACGCACTGGCACCTAGAGCAGCAGCCTCACAAGCACCTAGCGCAGCAGTACCAATGCCCGGGTCGGGCTGGAAACACCGGTAACCCTCATTCTCCTCACTATAAGTCACAGCATACATAGCAGCAAGGATAGCATCAAAATCAAGATCAAAGATCGCTACACCAGCCCTAAGAAGCTCATCCCAGCGAGGGATCTCACTAGCCCCAGGGAACTGCTGACGCCAAGCGTCCGTCAGGCGGCCAAAGCAGCGCTGGGTGGCGTGGGCACCCCCACACTGCTCACCCGCGCGGGTCGCCGGAACGAAGAACGTAGGTGCAGGGACCAGTACCCCCACCCCTCTGACGCCCAACGTACCACTCACGAAGCTGCTGAGGCGGAGGGATGTCCCGCGAGCGCTGCTGCTGCTGCCGCTGCGAGCGCTGGCCACCACCACCGCCGCTACGCTGCTGGGTACCACCCCGACCAGCTCCACCTCCTCCACCACCACCGCCTCCTCCGCTGCCGCCTCCACCGCCTCCACCTCCGCCGCCTCCACCTCCGCCGCTGCCTCCACCACCACCGCTGGCACCACCACCACCGTCTCCGCCGCTGCTGCCACCACCACCACCACCCCCGCCACTAGTCCCGCCGCCACCCCCACTCCCTCCGCCGCCACCGCCGCCACCGCCACCGCCCCCTCCAGCTCCACCCGCGCCCTTGCCCCCCTTGCCCTTGCTGGAGCAACGTCTCCCACTAGGGGCAGACGCCGCGCCGACCGACTCAAGACCAAGCAGGTCGGCAGCAGCAGCAGAGGCAACAGAGGGCAGCAAGGGGGAAGGATAGCACCCCTCAAAGATGGGGGTGCGAGGGTCACCACGAGAAGCACCTACAGCGACTATGCTCTTCTCCGCTACGAGGAGGGCCTTCTCGAGGACGTCGACGGTGAGGGTGGTGGGACAGACTGCGAGAAAGTGGTCCTTGACGACGCGAAGGGAGTCAGAGAGGCGCGCGACTACGTAGTAGAGAGCGATGTACATGGGGGGTGGGTTCTTAGCGCAGAACTCAGCAGGAAGGGCGGCGCGGTAGCGAGTGTCACTAGTGCGGAGGTGCGTAATGAGGTCAGCGACAGTGGGAAAGGCAGAGAGGTCAGGAAAGAGGTAGGGAAGCATGAGACGGCTCAGTGCAGCAGTGGCAGGGGAGGAGTAGCGCGCAACTACAGCGTCGTACAAGGTCTGAGCACTCTTGTACTGACTAAAGTGCGCACGCTCAGAGGTAGGGAGGTGGCGACGCACAGCAAGACGTGCAGCAGCATCGCGGGGTGGCCCACTGAGAGCGGACAGTGGGATCGGCATCAGCAGCAGGAGCAGGAGAGGCGCCAGAGGTGAGGTCAAAGAGAGAAAGGCCATCAGCCCCGTCGCACTGTAAGAACAGCTGCAGGTCGTCTAACCAGACCTCGAAATCTATGGCGCGACCCTCAGCGTCAAAAGCTAGGACACTAGGGGTAGCCATGGCGACGACAGCGAAGCAGTGCAAGCAGTAGGGAAAGAGCTCGCAGTGACAGTGGGACTGTGCTCACCAGGCAGGGCAGGTCCTGTAGCTCTGCAGAAAGGCGGCTCGGTGACCGGTCGGCTCGGGTGCACAGCGGCTCGGCTCCCGGGCGGCTCGGCGGCTGGGCGGCTCGGGCGCAGGGCGGCTCGGCTCCCGGGCGGCTCGGCGGCAGGGCGGCTCGGGTGCAGGGCGGCTCGGCTCCCGGGCGGCTCGGCGGCAGGGCGGCTCGGGTGCAGGGCGGCTCAGGTCCCGGTCGGCTCGGCGACAGGGCGGCTCGGGCGTTGGGCGGCTCGGCTCCCGGGCGGTTCGGCTGCACTGCTGCCCGACTGCTGCTGGTGTGGCGGCGGGGGCCGCGTGAGAGAGCCGGGGCAGGGACGCGGTGAGGGCCGGCGGCGGGGCCGCGTGAGAGCCGGGGCGGGGCCGCTTCAGAGCCTGGGCGGGGCCGCTTCAGAGCCGGCGGCGGGGCCGCAAAAGAGCCGGCGGCGGGGCCGCTTGAGAGCCGGGGCAGGGGCCGCGTCAGGGCCGGCGACGGGGCCGTAAGAGAGCCGGCGGCGGGGCCTGGAGAGGGCCGACGGCGGGGCCACGTGAGAGCCGGGGCGGGGCCGCAAGAGAGCCGGCGGCGGGGCCGCGTGAGAGCCGGGGCAGGGGCCGCGTAAGAGCCGGACGGGGCCACGGAAGAGCCAGGGGCGGGGCCGTAGGAGAGCCGGCGGTGGGGCCGCGTAGGAGCCGGGGCGGGGCCGCGCTAGAGTAGGCGGCGGGGCCGCGTAAGAGCCTGGGCGGGGCCGCGACAGAGCCGTCGGCGGGGCCGCGTGAAGGCCGGGGCGGGGCCGCGTAGGAGCCGGGGCGGGGCCGCGTGAGAGCACGCAGCGGGGCCGCGTAAAGGCCGGGGCGGGGCCGCGTGAGAGCCTGCGACGGGGCCGCGTAAGGGAGGGCGGCGGGGCCGCGTCAGTGGAGGCGGCTGAGCCGCAGGGGAAAAGGCGACCCGAGGGGTCGCTAAAAAAAAATCGCGCCTCGGGGCGCGCTTCGGAGGGCCCAAAAAAAACGGTCCTTAGAAGGACCCGCTCTATACCATGTGAGAATAAACGAACAGGAATGAATGAACTAGCAGTGAAATGAGTACAAGTAGGAAACCCTAGAATTGTGTACCGGCCTATAGGCTAACCCACTGTAGCCTACACAAGCATAACATATATAATGTTTGACACGGTCAGTATGGGAACTTAGAGTGCAAATGCCTGGGAGAACGGAACCGCTCAGATCTCGCATAATACACGGAATCTAGTGGTCTCACTCAAATATAAGGAAGGAAATTTATTCATCTAGTGAACGTAAGGGTTTGAAAGGTAACTAACGCACATGTGTAGAGAAAATGGTGCATCGGCCAGTCTGGCCGGCATTTCGCACTCATAGTGCAGGTGGGGCCAGGGAGAACGGAAACGCTCGTTTCTCAAAAAGTAGAGGGAATCTAACGGTCCTCACTCAATCAGAAGGTGGGAAATATATAATCTAGTCAGCTAAAAAGGTTTGAAATGTATTCAACGCACATGTATAGAGAAAATGGTGCATTGGCCAGGTCGGTCAGTATCGGTACTTAAAATGCAAATGCTAGGGAGAACGGAAGCGCTCAGATCTCACATAGTACACGGAATCAAGTGGTCTCACTCAAATAGAAAGTAGGAAATATATTCATCTAGTGAACGTAAGGGTTTGAAAGGTAACTAACGCACATGTGTAGAGAAAATTGTGCATCGGCCAGTCTGGCCGGCATTTCGCACTTATAGTGCAACTAGGGCCAAGGAGAACGGAAACGCTCATTTCTCAAAAAGTAGAGGGAATCTAGCGGTCTCACTCGATCAGAAGGTGGGAAATATATAAATCTAGTGAGCTAATAAGGTTCGAAAGGAATCTAATGCATATGTATATGGAAAATGGTGCATTGGCCAGGTCGGTCAGTGTGGGAACTTAGAGTGCAAATGCCAGGGAGAACGGAAGCGCTCAGATCTCGCATAGTACACGGAATCTAGTGGTCTCACTCAAATAGAAGGTAGGAAATAAATTCATCTAGTGAAACGTAAAGGTTTGAAAAGTAACTAACGCACATGTGTAGAGAAAATGGTGCATCGGCCAGTCTCGCCGGCATTTCGCACTTATAGTGCAAGTAGGGCCAAGGAGAACGGAAACGCTCATTCTCAAAAAGTAAAGGGAATCTAGGCAGTCTCACTCGATCAGAAGGTGGGAAATATATAAATCTAGTGAGCTAATAAGGTTCCGAAGGAATCTAATGCATATGTATATCGAAAGTGGTGCATTGGCCAGGTCGGTCAGTATGGAACTTAGAGTGCAAATGCCTGGGAGAACGGAACTGCTCAGATCTCGCATAATACACGGAATCTAGTGGTCTCACTCAAATATAAGATAGGAAATATATTCATCTAGTGAACGTTAGGGTTTGAAAGGTAACTAACGCACATGTGAAGAGAAAATGGTGCATCGGCCAGTCTGGCCGGCATTTCGCGCTCATAGTGCAGGTGGGGCCAGGGAGAACGGAAACGCTCGTTTCTCAAAAAGTGGAGGGAATCTAACGATCTCACTCGATCAGAAGGTGGGAAATATATAAATCTAGTCAGCTAAAAAGGTTTGAAATGTATTCAACGCACATGTATAGAGAAAATGGTGCATTGGCCAGGTCGGTCAGTATCGGAACTTAAAATGCAAATGCCAGGGAGAACGGAAGCGCTCAGATCTCGCATAGTACACGGAATCAAGTGGTCTCACTCAAATAGAAAGTAGGAAATAAATTCATCTAGTGAACGTAAGGGTTTGAAAGGTAACTAACGCACATGTGTAGAGAAAATTGTGCATCGGCCAGTCTGGCCGGCATTTCGCACTTATAGTGCAACTAGGGCCAAGGAGAAAGGAAACGCTCATTTCTCGAAAAGTAGAGGGAATCTAGCGGTCACACTTGATCAGAAGGTGGGAAATATATAAATCTAGTAAGCTAATAAGGTTCAAAAGGAATCTAATGCATATGTATATGGAAAATGGTGCATTGGCCAGGTCAGTCAGTATGGGAACTTAGAGTGCAAATGCCAGGGAGAACGGAAGCGCTTAGATCTCGCATAGTACACGGAATCTAGTGGTCTCACTCAAATAGAAGGTAGGAAATAAATTCATCTAGTGAACGACAGGGTTTGAAAGGTAACTAACACACATGTGTAGAGAAAATGGTGCATCGGCCAGTCTGGCCGGCATTTCGCACTTTTAGTGCAACTACGGCCAAGGAGTACGGAAACGCGCATTTCTCAAAAAGTAGAAGGAATCCAGCGGTCTCACTCGATCAGAAGGTGGGAAATATATAATTATAGTGAGCTAATAAGGTTCGAAAGGAATCTAATGCATATGTATATGGAAAATGGTGCATTGGCCAGGTCGGTCAGTATGGGAACTTAGAGTGCAAATGCCAGGGAGAACGGAAGGGCTCAGATCTCGCATAGTACACGGAATCTAGTGGTCTCACTCAAATAGAAGGTAGGAAATAAATTCATCTAGTGAACGTAAGGGTTTGAAAGGTAACTAACGCACATGTGTAGAGAAAATGGTGCATCGGCCAGTCTGGCCGGCATTTCGCACTTTTAGTGCAACTAGGGCCAAGGAGAACGGAAACGCTCATTTTCTAAAAAAGTAAAGGGAATCTAGCGGTCTCACTCGATCAGAAGGTGGGAAATATATATATCTAGTGAGCTAATAATGTTCGGAAGGAATCTAATGCATATGTATATGGAAAGTGGTGCATTGGCCAGGTCAGTCAGTATGGGAACTTAGAGTGCAAATGCCTCGGAGAACGTAAACCGCTCAGATCTCGCATAATACATGAATCTAGTGGTCTCACTCAAATATAAGGTAAGAAATATATGCATCTAGTGAACGTAAGGGTTTGAAAGGTAACTAACGCACATGTGTAGAGAACATTGCGCATCTGCCAGTCTGGCCGGCATTTCGCACTTATAGTGCAAGTAGGGCCAAGGAGAACGGAAACGCTCATTTCTCAAAAGTAGAGGGAATCTAGCGGTCTCACTCGATCAGAAGGTGGGAAATATATAAATCTAATGAGCTAATAAGGTTTGAAAGGAATCTAATGCATATGTATATGGAAAAATGGTGCATTGGCCAGGTTGGTCAGTATGGGAACTTAGAGTGCAAATGCCAGGGAGAACGGAAGCGCTCAGATCTCGCATAGTACACGGAATCTAGTGGTCTCACTCAAATAGAAGGTAGGAAATAAATTCATCTAGTGGACGTAAGGGTTTGAAAGGTAACTAACGCACATGTGTAGAGAAAATGGAGCATCGGCCAGTCTCGCCGACATTTCGCACTTATAGTGCAAGTAGGGCCAAGGAGAACGGAAAACGCTCATTTCTCAAAAAGTAAAGGGAATCTAGCAGTCTCACTCGATCAGAAGGTGGGAAATATATAAGTCTAGTGAGCTAATAAGGTTTGAAAGGAATCTAATGCATATGTATATGGAAAATGGTGCATTGGCCAGGTCGGTCAGTATGGGAACTTAGAGTGCAAATGCCAGGGAGAACGGAAGCGCTCAGATCTCGCATAGTACAACGGAATCTAGTGGTCTCACTCAAATAGAAGGTAGGAAATAAATTCAACTAGAGAACGTAAGGGTTTGAAAGGTAACTAACGCACCTGTGTAGAGAAAATGGAGCATCGGCCAGTCTGGCCGGCATTTCGCACTTATAGTGCAAGTAGGGCCAAGGAGAACGGAAACGCTCATTTCTCAAAAAGTAAAGGGAATCTAGCAGTCTCACTCGATCAGAAGGTGGAAATATATAAATCTAGTCAGCTAATAAGGTTCGGAAGGAATCTAATGCATATGTATAATGGAAAGTGGTGCATTGGCCAGGTCGGTCAGTATGGGAACTAAGAGTGCAAATGCCTGGGAGGAACGGACTGCTCAGATCTCGCATAATGCACGGAATCTAGTGGTCTCACTCAGAATATAAGGTAGGAAATATATTCATCTAGTGAACGTAAGGGTTTGAAAGGTAACTAACGCACATGTGTAGAGAAAATGGTGCATCGCCAGTCTGGCCGGCATTTCGCACTCATAGTGCAGGTGGGGGCCAGAGAGAACGGAAACGCTCGTTTCTCAAAAACTAGAGGGAATCTAATGGTCCTCACTCGATCAGAAGGGTGGAAATATATAATCTAGTTCAGCTTAAAGGTTTGAAATGTATTCAACGCACATGTATAGAGAAAATGGTGCATTGGCCAGGTCGGTCAGTATCGGAACTTAAAATGCAAATGCCTAGGGAGAAACGGAAGCGCTCACAATCTCGCATAGTACACGGAATCAAGTGGTCTCACTCAAATAGAAAGTTGGAAATATATTAATCTAGTGAACGTAAGGGTTTGAAGAGGTAACTAACGCACATGTGTAGAGAAAATGGTGCATCGGCCAGTCTGGTCGGCATTTCGCACTTATAGTGCAACTAGGGCCAAGGAAACACGGAAACGCTCATTTCTCAAAAAGTAGAGGGAATCTAGCGGTATCACTCAATCAGAAGGTGGGAAATATATAAATCTAGTCAGCTAATAAGGTTCGGAAGGAATCTAATGCATATGTATATGGAAAGTGGTGCATTGGCCAGGTCGGGTCAGTATGGGAACTTAGAGTGCAAATGCCTGGGAGAACGGAACTGCTCAGATCTCGCATAATGCACGGAATCTAGTGGTCTCACTCAAATATAAGGTAGGAAATATATTCATCTAGTGAACGTAAGGGTTTGAAAGGTAACTAACGCACATGTGTAGAGAAAATGGTGCATCGGCCAGTCTGGCCGGCATTTCGCACTCATAGTGCAGGTGGGGCCAGAGAGAACGGAAACGCTCGTTTCTCAAAAACTAGAGGGAATCTAATGGTCTCACTCGATCAGAAGGTGGGAAATATATAAATCTAGTCAGCTTAAAAGGTTTGAAATGTATTCAACGCACATGTAATAGAGAAAATGGTGGCATTGGCCAGGTCGGTCAGTATCGGAACTTAAATGCAAATGCCAGGGAGAACGGAAGCGCTCACATCTCGCATAGTACACGGAATCAAGTGGTCTCACTCAAATAGAAAGTTGGAAATATATTAATCTAGTGAACGTAAGGGTTTGAAAAGGTAACTAACGCACATGTGTAGAGAAAATGGTGCATCGGCCAGTCTGGTCGGCATTTCGCACTATAGTGCAACTAGGGCCAAGGAAAACGGAAACGCTCATTTCTCAAAAAGTAGAGGGAATCTAGCGGTATCACTCAATCAGAAGGTGGGAAATATATAAATCTAGTCAGCTAATAAGGTTCGGAAGGAATCTAATGCATATGTATATGGAAAGTGGTGCATTGGCCAGGTCGGTCAGTATGGGAACTTAGAGTGCAAATGCCTGGGAGAACGGAACTGCTCAGATCTCGCATAATGCACGGAATCTAGTGGTCTCACTCAAATATAAGGTAGGAAATATATTCATCTAGTGAACGTAAGGGTTTGAAAGGTAACTAACGCACATGTGTAGAGAAAATGGTGCATCGGCCAGTCTGGCCGGCATTTCGCACTCATAGTGCAGGTGGGGCCAGAGAGAACGGAAACGCTCGTTTCTCAAAAACTAGAGGAATCTAATGGTCTCACTCGATCAGAAGGTGGGAAATATATAAATCTAGTCAGCTTAAAAGGTTTGAAAATGTATTCAAACGCACATGTATAGAGAAAATGGTGCATTGGCCAGGTCGGTCAGTATCGGAACTTAAAATGCAAATGCCAGGAGAACGGAAGCGCTCACATCTCGCATAGTACACGGAATCAAGTGGTCTTACTCAAATAGAAAGTGGAAATATATTAATCTAGTGAACGTAACGGTTTGAAAGGTAACTAACGCACATGTGTAGAGAAAATGGTGCATCGGCCAGTCTGGTCGGCATTTCGCACTTATAGTGCAACTAGGTCCAAGGAAAACGGAACGCTAATTTCTCAAAAAGTAGAGGGAATCTAGCAGTATCACTCGATCAGAGGTGGGAAATATATAAATCTAGTGAGCTAATAAGGTTCGAAAGGAATCTAATGCATATGTATATGGAAAATGGTGCATTGGCCAGGTCGGTCAGTATGGGAACTATAGAGTGCAAATGCCAGGGAGAACGGAAGCCGTTCAGGTCTCGCATAGTACAACACGGAATCTAGTGGTCTCACTCAAATAGAGGTAGAAATAAATTCATCTAGTGAACGTAATGGTGTGAAAGGGTAACTAACGCACATGTGTAGAGAAAATGGTGCATCGGCCAGTCTGGCCGGCATTTCGCACTTATGGTGCAAGTAGGCCCAAGGAGAACGGAGAACGCTCATTTCTCAAAAAGTAAAGGGAATCTAGCGGTCTCACTCGATCAGAAGGTGGGAAATATATAAATCATAGTGAGCTAATAAGGTTCGGAAGGAATCTAATGTCATATGTATATGGAAGTGGGGCATTGGCCAGGTCGGTCAGTATGGGAGACTTAGAGTGCAAATGCCTGGGAGAACGGAACCGCTCAGATCTCGCATAATACACGGAATCTAGTGGTCTCACTCAAATATAAGGTAGGAAATATATTCATCTAGTGAACGTAAGGGTTTGAAAGGTAACTAACGCACATGTGTAGAGAAAATGGTGCATTGGCCACTCTAAGCCGGCCTTCTCACTGCATAGTGCAGGTGGAGCCAGGGAGAGACGGAAACGCTCGTTTCTCAAAAAGTTGAGGGAATCTAACGGTCTCACTTGATGAGAAAGGTGGGAAATATATAAATCTAGTCAGCTAAAAGGTTTGAAATGTATTCAATGCACATGTATAGAGAAAATGGTGCATTGGCCAGGTCGGTCAGTATCGGAACTTAAAATGCAAATGCCAGGGGAGAACGGAAGCGCTCAGATCTCGCATAGTACATGGAATCAAGTGGTCTCACTCAAATAGAAAGTAGGAAATCTATTCATCTAGTGAAACGTAAGGGTTTGAAAGGTAACTAACGCACATGTGTAGAGAAAATTGTGCATCGGCCAGTCCTGGCCGGCATTTCGCACTTATAGTGCAACTGGGGCCAAGGAGACGGAAACGCTCATTTCTCAAAAAGTAGAGGGAATCTAGCGGTCTCACTCGATCAGAAGGTGGGGAAATATATAAATCTAGTGAGCTAATAAGGTTCGAAAGGAATCTAATACATATGTATATGGAAAATGGTGCATTGGCCAGGTCGGTCAGTATGGTAACTTAGAGTGCAAATGACATTGACGTGGACTGTGGACGTGGACGTGGGACATGGACATGGACATGGACGTGATGTGGACATGGACGTGGATGTGGACATGGACGTGGACAATGGACGTGGATGTGGACATGGACATGACGTGGACGTGGACGTGGACTTGGACATACGTGGACGTGGACATGGACGGGATGTGGACATGGACGTGGACGTGTCCATGTCCATGTCCACGTCCACGTCCACGTCTATGTGCACGTCCCACGTTCACGTCCACATCCATGTCCATGTCCATGTCCACGTCACGTCCACGTCCACGTCCACGTCCATGTCCATGTCCATGTCCACGTCCACGTCCACGTCCATGTCCACGTCCACGTCCATGTCCACGTCCCCGTCCATGTCCACGCCACGTCCTCGGTCCACGTCCAGGTCCACGTCCATGTCTACGTCCACGTCCATGTCCACGTCCACGTCCATGTCCACGACCACGTCCACGACCACGTCCACGTCCCGTCCACGTCCACGTCTAAGTCCATGTCCACGTCCACGTCCACGTCCACGTCCACATCCACGACCATGTCTTCGTCCACATCCACGTCCACGTCCATGTCCACGTCCATGTCCACGTCCAAGTTCTCCACGTCCACGTCCACTTCCACGTCGACGTCCACGTACATGTCCACGTCCACGTACATGTCCACGTCCACGTCCACCTCCATGTCCACGTCCACCTCCATGTCCACGTCCACGTCCACGTCCACGTCCACGTCCACGTCCACGTTCACGTCCATGTCCACGTCCAAGTTCTCCACGTCCACGTCCATGTCCACGTCCACGTCCACGTCTACGTCTACGTCCATGTCCATGTCCACGTCCACGTCCACGCCCACGTCCATGTCCACGTCCACGTCCACGTCCACGTCCACGTCCACGTCCACGTCCACGTCCATGTCCACGTCCACGTCCACGTCCACGTCCACTCCACGTCTACCTCCACGTCCATTGTCACCGTCCACGTCCACGTGCACGTCCATGTCCACGTCCACGTTTTACGTCCATGTCCACCGTCCATGTCCACGTCCATGTCCACGTTCACGTCCATGTCTACGTCCAAGTTCTCCACGTCCACGTCCACACGTCCACGTCCAACCTCTACGTCCACGTCCACGTCCACGTCCACCTCCACGTCCACGCCACGTCCACCTCCACGTCCACCTCCACGTCCATGTCCACGTCCACGTCCACGTCCACTCCACGTCCACGTCCACCTCCACGTCCATGTCCATGTCCACGTCCACGTCCATTCCACGTCCACAGTCCACGTCCACGTCCACGTCCATGTCCACGTCCACGTCCACGTCCACGTCCACGTCCACACGTCCACGTCCACGTCCACGTCCACGTCCACGTCCACGTACACGTCCACGCCACGTCCACGTCCCACGTCCACGTCCACTCTACGTCCACGTCCACGTCCACGTCCACGTCCACTCAACGTCCACCTCCACGTCCACGTCCACGTCCCAGTCCACGTCCACGTCCACGTCCACTCCACGTCCACGTCCAAGTCCACGTCCACGTCCACGACGTCCACGTCCACGTCCACGTCCCAGTCCACGTCCACGTCCACGTCCACGTCCATGTCCACGTCCACGTCCCAGTCCACACGTCCACGTCCACGTCCACGTCCACGTCCATGTCCCACGTCCATGTCCACGTCCAGTTCTCCACGTCCACGTCCACTCCACGTCGACGTCCACGTACATGTCCACGTCCATGTCCACGTCCACGTCCACGTCCATGTCCACGTCCACGTCCATGTCCCGTCCACGTCCACGTCCACGTCAACGTCCATCTCCACGTCCAAGTCCTCCACGTCCACGGTCCACGTCCATCTCCACGTCCACGTCCACGTCCACGTCCACGTCCATGTCCACGTCCATGTCCATGTCCACGTCCATGTCCACGTCCATGTCCACGTCCATGTCCACGTCCACGTCCAGGTCCACGTCCACGTCCATGTCACGTCCATGTCCACGTCCATGTCCACGTCCACGCGATGTCCACGTCCATGTTCACGTCCACGTCTTGTTCACGTCCACGTCCATGTCCACGTCCACGTCCACGTCCACGTCCACGTCCACGACCATGTCCACGTCCACGTCCATGTCCACGTCCAGGTCCACGTCCATGTCCAGGTCCACGTCCATGTCCACGTCCACGTCCACGTCCATGTCCACGTCCACGTCCACGTCCACGTCCCCGTCCACGTCCATGTCCACGTTCCACGTCCACGTCCATGTCCACGTCCAAGTCCTCCACGTCCTACGTCACGTCCACGTTCACGTCCATGTCCACGTCCAAGTTCTCCCACGTCCACGTCCTCCACGTCCCACGTCCACGTCCACGTCCACGTCCACGTCCACGTCTACGTCCCACGTCCACGTCCACGTCCACGTCCACGTCTACGTCCACGTCCACGTCCACGTCCACGTCCACGTCCACAACCACGTCCATGTCCACGTCCACGTCCACTCCACGTCCACTCCACGTCCACATCCACGTCCACGTCCACTCCACGTCCACTCCACGTCCACGTCCACGTCCACGTCCAGTCCACGTCCACGTCCATGTCCACGTCCACGTCCACGTCCACGTCCACCTCCATGTCCACAGTCCACGTCCACGTCCACCTCCATGTCCACGTCCACGTCCACGTCCACGTCCATGTCCACGTCCACGTCCACGTCCACGTCCACGTCACGTCCACGTCCACGTCCATGTCCACGTCCACGTCCACGTCCACGTCAACGTCCACGTCCACGTCCACGTCCACTCCACGTCCACGTCCATGTCCACGTCCAAGTCCTCCACGTCCACGTCCACGTCCACGTTCACGTCCATGTCCACGTCCAAGTTCTCCACGTCCACGTCCACGTTCACGTCCATGTCCACGTCCCAGTTCTCCACGTCCACGTCCACGTCCACGTCCACGTCCACGTCCTCCACGTCCACGTCCACGTCCATGTCCACGTCCACGTCCACGTCTACGTCTACGTCCACGTCCATGTCCACGTCCACGTCAACGTCCATGTCCACGTCCACGTCCACGTCCACGTCCACGTCCACGTCCACGTCCACGTGCATGTCCAACGTCCACGTCCACGTCCACGTCCATGTCCACGTCCACGTCCACGTCCACTCCACGTCTACCTCCATGTCCATGTCCACGTCCACGTCCACGTCCACGTCCATGTCCACGTCCACGTCCACGTCCACGTCCATGTCCACGTCCATGTCCACGTCCATGTCCACGTTCACGTCCATGTCCACGTCCAAGTTCTCCACGTCCACGTCCACGTCCACGTCCACGTCCACCTCCACGTCCACGTCCACGTCCACCTCCACGTCCACGTCCACGTCCACGTCCACCTCCACGTCCACGTCCACGTCCACCTCCACGTCCACCTCCACGTCCATGTCCAACGTCCACGTCCACGTCCACTCCACGTCCAAGTCCACCTCCACGTCCATGTCCATGTCCACGTCCACGTCCACTCCACGTCCACGTCCAAGTCCACGTCCACGTCCACGTCCATGTCCACGTCCACGTCCACGTCCATGTCCACGTCCACGTCCACACGTCCACGTCCACGTCCACGTCCACGTACACGTCCACGTCC